AATCTTCTTGTCTTTGGTTACTACCTTGAATCCATGCAAGACTATCTCTAATTCTTTTAATGTGATTACCTATTTCTTTTAAACCGGATTTAACTATTAAATTGATTACATGACATGCACAACGTTGGTGGAAAATAGTACCGTCACCGAATAGACTTAAATCATTTTCAAAAAATTCAATTGCTTTTGTATTGGCACTAGCATTATCTAATGTTATAGCCATTACTTTATCTCTTAATCTAAATTCATCAATTACATTTAAAATTGTGTTATATATTAAATCTGCGCTATGTGATCCTAGAACACATTTAAAACCTAATATTCTCTTATCTAAATCAAATCCTTTAAAGTAATGTCCGGTTACAGCTAAATAATCTTTATTGGCAACGGCAGATCAAATATCTGCCGTTAACGCAACGCACCTGCTAGTCGAGTGTAAAAGGTTTATTAATGAATCTTTTTCTTTTTTAAATAATTTTAATAAATCTTTCCTAAGAGTAGTTTTTGAAGTGAACTGTGCATTAGGATAATGTACAACCTTAATATATCGTTGCCAATTAGGATGCTCTACAAAACTAAGTGGTTGATCTAAAGCAGCTATCATTCGCGCAACTTCCATACGATCTTCTTGCGGATCGTATTTCCAAGTGGTTAGACCACCGGTTGCGCGATCAAAAGATAATTGTGTTTCGGAGTTCGGGTCCACTAGATTGGCTAAGCTTTTGAAGACACTTTTCAGAGTGTCGTCTCAAGTGTGTGGTGCCGTGATCTTCGGGTCGGCGGGCTGCCCGAAGCCTGAATTTTTTCGGGCTCGGGCGGGCAGGCCCAATTCCCACCCGCCCAAGCAAGAAATTCAGGTTCGGGCTCGGGTAGCCCGAATTTGACATGTCCACTCTTGCCCGCCGCCGTCTAACCACCGTATACCGCCGTCCGTCGGGATTTTTTTGAATTTTTCTGACCATGCCCGACCCGAAAATTGCCCAAAAATTGGGTGTGCCCGAAAACTCAAATGGCTATTTTTTTTTAATTTTACCCGAATTTTTCCCGCCTGTCCGAATTGCCCAACCCGCCCGAGGTGCCCGAATTGCCCGAATACCCGAAAACGGCTAGTTTTTTGAATTTTGCCCTAAAACCCGAGGTGCCCGAAAACCCAAAAACGGCTAGTTTTTTGAATTTTTCCCCGAATTCTGCCCGAAAACCCGAGTTGCCTGAATTGCCCGAAAACGGCTAGTTTTTTGAATTTTGCCCGAAAACCCAAGCTGCCCGACTGCCCGATGTCCGAATTTCAAAAAACTAGCCGTTTTATCCCCCTTTTTTAAAAAAAAAAAAATAATTTTTTAACCCCAAAATTTCTCTATAAATACCCCCATCTCTCACACATTTTTCTCACTCAAACTCTCTCAATCCCTCTCAATCTCTCTCAATTTCTCTCAATCTCTCTCAATCTCTTTCAAGTTCTCTCAATCTCTCTTACAATTTTTCTAAAGCTCTCTCTCTAGTGTCTATCAAATTCATCTTATTTTTTTATAATGGATCCTTTTAGTTATAGTGGTATTCCCGTTGATGCCCAACACAATGTAGAAGAAGGGCAATTTCCCACTAATGAGTTTGTTACGCAGCAATCTACTAATTCAAGCCATGGTGGACGTACTGGAGGTCATGGTCGCAATAGTGGGCGTGGAGAAGCGGCGGCGAGTGCGACTGCGTCTGCGTCTGCGCCAGCAAGTGTTGCAACCTCCAGGAGGAAATGCAAGCGTACCTCGACAGTTTGGGATCACTTCGACATAATTGACGAGGTGGATCATGAATGTAACACTAAACATATAGCTCAGTGTAAATATTGTTTATCTAAATTACAAGGTGACACTATTCACGGCACCACACACTTGAGACAACACTCCGAAAAGTGTCTTCAAAAGCTTAGCCAATCTAGCGGACCCGAACTCCGCCAAACATAATTATCTTTTGATCGCGCAACCGGAGGTCTAACCACTTGGAAATGCGATCCGCAAGAAGATTGTATGGAAGTTGCGCGAATGATAGCTGTTTTAGATCAACCACTTAGTTTTATAGAGCATCCTAATTGGCAACGATATATTAAGGTTGTACACAATCCTAATGCATAATTCACTTCAAAAACTACTCTTAGGAAAGATTTATTAAAATTATTTAAAAAAGAAAAAGATGCATTAATAAACCTTTTATACTCGACTAGCGGGTGCGTTGCGTTAACGGCAGGTATTTGGGCTGCCGTTGCCAATAAAGATTATTTAGCTATAACCGGACATTACTTTAAAGAATTTGATTTAGATAAGAGAATATTATGTTTTAAATGTATTCTAAGATCACATAGCGCAGATTTAATATGTAACACAATTTTAAATGTAATTGATGAATTTAGATTAAGAGATAAAATAATGGCTATAACATTAAATAATGCTAGTACCAATAAAAAAGCTATTGAATTTTTTGAAAATGATTTAAGTCTATTCGGCGACGATACTATTTTCACCAACATTGTGCATGTCATGTAATCAATTTAATAGTTAAATCCGGTTTAAAAGAAATGGGTAATCACCTTAAAAGAATTAGAGATAGTCTTGCATGGATTCAAGGTAGTAACCAAAGACAAGAAGATTGGTTTAGGTTCTTACAAGCATTAAATATACCTCCTAGAGCATTAGCGTTAGATATGCCTACAATATGGAACTCAACTTATATATGCTTCAACAATGCATCCCTTATAAGAATGCTATAACAAACTATATGTGTGCAAAATTAGGAGTAGGACATATAGATGAATTTGATTGGCAAATTACTGAAGTTTTGTATCAATTTTTAGGTAGGTTTCATGAAGTTACTCTAAAACTTAGTGGAACACACTACCCAACATCACCTTTAGCTTTAGGAGAACTTTTAAGAATTAGTATTTTATTTCACGAATATAGTGAGGACCCAATCTTAGGAGTTCCTGTTCAGTCTATGGAAAAAAAATTTAAAAAATATTCGTCTAAGTTGCCTTTGTTATATGGTTTAGGTACAATTTTTGATCCTAGATTAAAATTAGACGGATTAGAAAGTGGTTTAGAAAACTTAGGTGAATTTTTAGGCATCACTTGTACGGACCAATTTTCAATAATAAAGGCAAAAATATATGAGATCTATAGTAAATATGAGATTAGGTTTAGAAGCACAAACTCTAGAGTACAAGAACCGCAACAACACGATGAAAACCTGCATTCATTCTTGAATGTTTTCGGGTCAAAGAAGAAGACAACTCAAACGGAAGCTGTGAGTGGAAGTGGATCTTCATTAACAAGTGGCAGTGGCAACAACAGCTTCAACGAGCTTATGGCGTACCTCAGTGAAGGCTTAGTAGTCGGCAGTGCGGCTGAATCGTTTGTCTTAGTTCAATGGTGGAGGGCACATGCATTAACTTTGTCAATCCTAACTCGATTGGCAATGGATATATTTTCGATCACAGTCTCCACTATTTCATCCGAACAAGCCTTCAGTACGACAGGAAGAATACTTGAGGAACGCCAGAATGCATTGCAAAGGGATATTGTTGAAGCCTTAGTTTGCATTAAGGATTGGGATCGGGCCGATCAACGTCTACAAGATACAATTTCACCGGCAAGCCAAGAATGGATCGATGAATTTAATCGATTAACATTTAATTTTGAAGACGATCCCTCAGCTTCAAATTAAATTGTAAATTTATATTTTGTAAATATGTATTCACTTTTTACATTGTATTTGTAATTTAATAAACAATGTAAGTTTGTACAATTTGTAATTCGTCACAAAATGATTGCACTCTTTTTTCCTTGCCAAGTTATATATATATAAATTGTAATACTAATATATATATAAATAACTTAATATGAAAAAAAAAGTTTAAAAAATTCGGGCAATTCGGGCGGGCTCGGGCCGCCGAATACAAGCCCGCGGCCCGTTCAAGGTGAAATTCAGGCTCGGGTGGGCGGCCCAAAAATCTCGGGCGGGTCGGGTTCGGGCTTGGGCAAATCCTCGGGCTTTTCGGGAGGTCACGGGCGGCCCGTCCAAAGTTCCAGCACTAGTCTCAAGTGTGTGGTGCCGTGAATAGTGTCGCCTTGTAATTTAGACAAACAATATTTACACTGAGCTATATGTTTAGTGTTACCGTCATTATCTACCTCGTCAATTATTTCGAAGTGATCCCAAACTGTCGAGGTACGCTTGCATTTCCTCCTGGAGGTTGCAACACTTGCTGACGCAGACGCAGACGCACTCGCACTCGCCGCCGCTTCTCCACGCCCACTATTGCGACCACGACCTCCAATACGTCCACCATGGCTTGGATTAGTAGATTGCATTTGCTGCGTAACAAACTCATTAGTGGGAAATTGCCCTTCTTCTACATTGTGTTGGGCATCAACGGGAATACCACTATAACCAAAAGGATCCATTATAAAAAAATAAGATGAATTTGATAGAGAGAGAGCTTTAGAAAAATTATGAGAGAGATTGAGAGAAATTGAGAGAGATTGAGAGGGATTGAGAGAGTTTGAGTGAGAAAAATGTGTGAGGAATGGGGGGTATTTATATGAAAATTTTGGGGTTAAAAAATGATTTTTTTTTTTAAAAAAGGGGATAAAACGGCTAGTTTTTTGAAATTCGGGCATCAGGCAGTCGGGCAAACTCGGGCAACTCGGGTTTTCGGGCAAAATTCAAAAAACTAGCTGTTTTCAGGTATTCGGGCAACTCGGGTTTTCGGGCAGAATTCGGGTAAAAATTCAAAAAACTAGCCGTTTTCGGGCAAAATTTAAAAAACTAGCCGTTTTCGGGTATTCGGGCACCTCGGGCGGGTCGGGCAGGCGGGAAAAATTCGGGCAAAATAAAAAAAAAACAGCCGTTTGAGTTTTCGGGCAGCGGGTCGAGCAATTCGGGCACACCCAATTTTTGGGTCGGGCAGTTCAGGCATGATCGGAAAAATTCAAAAAAATCCCAGCGAACGGCAGTATACGGTGGTTAGATGGCGGCGGGCAAGGGTGAACATGTCAAATTCGGGCTGTCCGAGCCCGAACCCAAATTTCTTGCTTGGGCGGGCGGGAATTGGGCATGCCCGCCCGAGCCTGAAAAAATTCGGGCTTCGGGTAGCCCGCCGACTCGAAGTTCCAGCACTAACCATGACATTATCTCCACCATCAACTCCTCTGGCAGCTTAGGGTATTGACTTGGCTTCTCTGCCACACTCAAACTTCTAAGCCTTGAAAATATTTCCAACATAGCTAAGATTGTTCCTACTGAAACAAAACGAAAATACAATGATAACTGAAATAACTGATCTCAGTGGAAAATAACTGAAATTACTCCAGCATGAAGCAAAATAAAATCCCAAAATTTCCGTGAGAGGAAACACGAAAATGATTTTCCCAAAACCCTAAAAAAGGGAAAAAAAAAAAAAAAGGTAACAAGATCATTTCATCGCTTCCTAACAGACCCTTAGATACACCAAATTGATCAAAAAGTCCATTGTGTCCTAATTTCTGTTGAAATCACAACTAAACAACTAATTAATCTTATATCCTCAAAAGGACTCAAATTTCCATTTTTTTTTTTTAGAAAACAGTAATGGAAATATTTACACTTGCAAAAAGTGGGTTAAAGATGAATATTCTTGCACAGAGGCTTACCTTAATTGGCACGACAAGAGAAGAGCTGGCGTCAGAGATCCATTCACAATGTATATTTTCGTTTGAAATTCTCTGTGTTGGTGCGATCCCAACACCAACTCGCCGGAATTGTAAGAAACAATAAAACCAAAACAGTATGAACACAGAAGATTTGTTTTACCGAGGTTCGGAATAAATTCCTACATTTCCGTTGAATTCGTCCGCAGAAAGTTCTATCCACTAATTAGAGAAAGATTACACACTCAATTCCTCACAATACAAAGATTTCCCAATTACAGAAACTCATCCCAAGAAAAGAAACTAAGCGAACAATAAGATGAATTCTCAGAAGAACAAATCCTACAACTCCCAAATTCTCTTATTCTCAAAACTTACAATTTCTCTCTCTAAAAATCTTTAGAATTTCTCTCACTAAATCTCTCTCAAAGAATACTTCTCTCTCTATCTTTGAAATGCACAGTAAAAAAGAGAGAGCAAAAGGTTCTAGAGCCTTCAAGAACCAAACCAATATATAATAAAGTGGTCAACAAGATAATACCACGTGTACTTGATTGACTGAAGCTATTACCCCGTTCACTTCGCTGATTCGAGTTTAGAATTTGAGTTTTTCTACAGTAAAAAGCTCTCACAAACAATCACATCTAATTTTTTTACTATAGTAAAAAATTCTCACATAAAATCACATCTCAACTCGAATTCTAAACTCGAATTCTAAACTCGAATCAGCGAAGTGAACAGGGCATAAATATCTAAACTTGCAAATCAAGTCTTTTAGTTGCCCCAAAATGACATGTTTTTTAGGGTATAGGAATTCTTTCTCTTTCTCTGTGAATGTCGTTTTTATGAGATTAGCCTCACACTCTGGTTGAACGTTTTTTTTTTTTTTTTTTGGCTTGTAACTACGTTTGAAGTTTGAACCTGTTCATTTGAGTTTTGGCCTCTGGGTAATAAAGGGAACTTTTGGTATGAGGCCGGTGCAGTACAAGCATAGGCCGGTGACGTTTAGTAAGATGATTCGTACTTTAATTCGAATCATGGTTCATGATTTATTACAGTATTTTTTCTCATAAAAAATACACGTAAATTAAAAATTATTCTAATCTCATGATTCTACATGAACCAAACATAATAGTCATGCATTTTGATATGAGTTATTATATGCAAATATTTTCTGAGGTTATTTATACTCATTAAGTTCTCATTCACTAGTTTATTCATGCAAATCGAGTAAATCTCAAACCTCACGTACATTAATGAATTGATTAGCCCGTACAGGACGAAGGTAAAGTTATGGATACCATTTACAGATAATTTTCGTATTACGATGTTAGCGTTATTTTAAAAGGTTTAGAAATTAATGTTAGATTGAAAATAACCTATTAAGAAGAACCTTATAAGTTTTTATAAGTCTCAAGCCTTTTCTTATTAATAATCCGACATAATCTTCGTGCTCGGAAAACTTTAAAGTTTATACTTATAATGATTTTGAAGAAACGTCAATTACGGTGAACTTAAAATATTCATTCGTTTATAGTATTTTAATATACTAAATATGAATAGTATAATATAAAATTTTCCATACCCTTTGAGTTGTGATTACTCGAGCAAACAAGTTACATATATTATATATTATATAATCTAGTTAGTAAAGCATGTTTTTCATTTGATGCATTTTGAAAATCCTTTTTCAGAAATTAGTCTTGCCATCTAGTTTATCCCTTCTTAGCAAGAAAATCCTTAAATACTTTTAAGAAAAGAAGTTTTATGTTTATATTAAAAAAAAAATTCTCCTAAGATTTTGATAATTAGGAATATGTTTAAAACCAAGTAAATAATTAAGACGAGTCAATTATGTTTTAAGTAAATTTAGTAACAATCTGAAAAATCGGGCCGTTACAATTCCACTCAATAGAGGTTATAAACCTAATACCATTGATGAACATAATATTTATTTTGGATGCATATTTTACTTGAGAACTCGTACAACTCTTCGAGCTTTTATTGGTCAACAAACATCGTGGCATTTCTATCTGCTGAAGATCAAACAAGATTGACACTCACTTGACAACATTTTATTCTTAGGAGCCTAAAGAAACTAAAAAAAGAAATCATGCGGCAAAGTTCAAGCGATGAGATATGTGAAAGTTCACTCGAATTTCCAAGAAGATAATGGTGGAGTTTCGGATTCCTTCCAAGTAACTATGGAATCATCGTTCCTACCGCCCTTCACGGCTGAAGCAATCAATTCTAGCTCGGCAATTTCTTCTGACGTTAGTTTCACAGACAAAGCTCCAACATTCTGGTTGAAATTCTCAATTTTGGTGGTTCCAGGGATAGGACACACATCATTTCCTCGGTGGTGAACCCAGGCCAATGCTAGCTGGGAAGGGGTGCATCCTTTCCTCGCTGCAATTTCATTCAATCGATCGATTATCTTTTGGTTGTGCTCTAGGTTTTCGGGTCGGAACCATGGTAGATTCTGCAATAGGTAAACATATTTCAGCATGATCACGATGTAATGGCTTCATTTCTCTTAAGAAATCTTAGATAGCATAAAGTTGTCCAAGCATATGTTTTAAAGAAAACAAAGCTCAATGAAATGGCCATTGAAAAATCTGCAAGATGTTTTATAATGCCCACAGCATTTGTCAATCAATCTAGCCAAGTTTCCAACAAAACCTTTCGATAGTCATCATTAGACATGGTTTCTACAAGCTTGGCTCCATAGGACAAGAATCCTCTCCCTAGAGGGCTGTACGCAACAATACCAATGCCCAATTCCCTGAAAATTAAGAAAAGTATTTTATTAGTATTATTATCATAAACGCGGTATAATTACTTACCAATTAAAGAATATGAACACATATTTCCACTAATGAGCCTCACCTGCAGGTAGGAATTATGTCATCCTCAACATCTCTAGCCCATAAAGACCACTCTAATTGCACGGCTGTTATTGGATGAACAGCATGTGCTCTTCTTATTGTTGAAGCTGAGGCCTCTGATAATCCGACGTACTTTATTTTACCCTCTTCAACTAGCTTCTTCAGCTCCCCAACCTTTTCACAAGAAAACAATTAAATGGCATTTATCCCCAATAACAAATGCAAAGTGTTAAAGTTTACTTAAAGGAGAACTTTCTATGGTAGGGTATCCCTTACAGTAGGGGATGTATGTGGACATTAAATTCGGTCAAAAAAATCATATCAAAAGGTAAAAATATACAAAAATAACATAATCTCTGTTAGGTTCCTGGGAATTCTTTTGGAAATGATTGTTGACAAGGAAAGAACAATGGCGTAATTGAATGGAAAATAACCAGAAAAACAGGTCTGGTTCCTTTTATTGAAGCAAGAAAACGGAAATACAAATAGTAGGGGAATTCGAGGACCCTCTAGCCTCCCAAGTGATCGTTTCCTATCAGTAAAATTCTCGATGCCCTCTCTATTCCTTGCCTAGGCCATTTCTTCTCAACCCTGTAACTAACAAGCCACAGCCCTCCTATCTAACACGAATCCCCTTGCCATCCCACATCCCAATGTCGAATATCCTAACCGTAACGCTTACCCCGAAGCTACTGATACTCCAAATTACTCTCCAGCTCTTGCTTGCCCTTCTTCCTCCTTCGGGCATACACGAACTTGAGAGGTGGAGGCCTAACAATCTCATACATATCTGAAGGTTCAAACAAAGCTCTACAAGTTCGTTCTTTTTTCATCGCCTAAATTTAAGGTGTTTGACATAAACTTAAGGTGTACTTAATAATAATATTGTAAACTTAAGGTGTTTGACATAAAGCATCAACGAAATAAGAAATAAAATGGAGAGATTTTGGTAATGCTTGGAACACGCCCTTAGGTTTCAGGCTCAATTGAACAAAACCCAATCCACAAATTGGGGAAAGAAATGAGAATTCCACCGTGCAGTATGAAACTGTCACCTTTATATATTTATCACGTTTTGTCAGTCTTGCATACTTTTGATTTTGATGTAATTTTTACGAAATCTTAAGTCCAAAAATATACACTATTCATAATCAGGATTTCCTACTTCCTACAGAATATAAACATGACAAAACATTTGAAGATTTTATGCACATAACATGTTTAAAAATAAACCTCAAAGCATAAGAAAAGCATTAGAAGAAATGAGGAATCCAAACCGTGACTTCGATGGGTAGTCGAGAGTCGATCCGATGCTGGTAATAGAGATCAATGCAATCAACGCCGAGTCGTTTCAAACTTGCCTCGCAAGCTTCCCTCACATACTTCGGATCACCAATCACCTCCATTTTTCCTTGATCATTAAATCTGACCCCAAATTTTGTCGCCAACTCAACTCTCTCTCTGACTCCATCCTTAAGTGCCTTTCCAATTATACAAAATAACAAATCCAATTCAATAATCCAAGTACCAAAAAAAGATAAAAAGATAAAAATCCTTAAAATTTTCACATTAGTATCAACTTCCTTCTTTGGCTTTTCAAATATGTCAATAATAATTTTTGAACTCGATAAAATAGCAATGTTCAGCTGGTTTGTCCTAAAAATATATTTCTTTTCGGCTATTAAAACTAATAAAAGAGAACTTCGAATGACTAAATAAAAATACTAGGATGTCTCTTAGTAATGACTAATGACTGTTCATGCAGTTTAGAATAGAGTATATAGTAATATGTTCTACGTAAGACATAAAGTAGCTATCTTTAGGAACTTTAAATTGAGAGATATGAATAGACTAGGTTATCGAAAAATAAATTGGCATCAATTCAAAACCCAGAAAAAGTTTTATAAGATTATAAAATGTCCGTTAAGTGCATCAAATTCCGTTCATTTCACCGATTTGAATTTAGAGTTCGAGTTTTGCTATAGTAAAAAGCTCTCAGAAACAGTCACATCTAACTTTTTTACTGCAGTAAAAACTCTCACATAAAGGCCTAATTCACTTCGCGGATTCGAGTTTTCAATTCAAGTTGAGATGTGACATTTTATGAGAACTTTTCACTGTAGCAGAAAAAGTTAGATGTGATATTTTCTGAGAACTTTTTACTGTAGAAACTTAAAACTGAATTTCACCGAGGCCAAAGTTACATCTCAACTCGAATTAAAAACTCGAATCAGCGAACTACACAGATCTTACGGACCTTAAGTGTATCCACCGATTGGTTAGACAAGTATTTTTAGCCACCGATTAAAATTTAATGGTCCCATTTAAGTGTATCCACGTTAAAAATATAATTATCATATACCATAAAAAAGAATACCCACGCTCATATATCAGACCTTGAGAATTTAATCAAGTGGTTAGGAAAAAAAAATCCCTTTCAGAACACAAATAGAAACATCATCTAGTTTATAGGTAGAAAATAAAGGACCTCCTACAGTAGAAACTACTATTTTACTCTATTGATAAAAAACTAAGAATAATTATTTTAACCGTTAAATTAATTTTTCAATAGCCAACATGCGTGACAGAGATCTGCTCCTACTCACAAACCATACAGTTGAAAAATTAATCCAAGGTTTAAAACGGCAATTCCTACCAGTAGGCTAAAAATCAAATCCTACCATAAAAATTCCGAAAAAACAAATCAAAGGACTAACAAGTTCGGACTTGTTGATACATTTAAGAACTCGCTAAACAAATATAGACCAATAACAAGTACCTTTCCGAGGAGGATTTCGTTGGTGAAAGGTCCATAGACATCGGAAGTGTCGAGGAAGGTGATGCCGGAATCGACGGCGTGGTGGATGAGCTTTATCATCTCCGGATCGGGCTTCGGTGGGCCGTAAAAGGCCGACATGTTCATGCAGCCAAGTCCCTGCGCCGAGACCTCCAGGCCCTGAGAGCCCAGCTTGATCCTTCTCACTTTTGTCGCCGACGCCATTGTTATTTTCTTCTGCGTTTTGTCTCAGGATGGCTTGATCTGGCCTTAAATAGGCGCTTGGAAGAGCCATAGATGGCGTAAGAGAATACGTTAGATTTTTTTTTTCTCCGTGATTTGATTTGATTTGATATGAGAAAGGAAGAGAATTGTCGTTGGCGGCGAAGGTGGATTGTGTGCGAGTGAGAAAGTTGGAGATAAGAAGGAGAGGTGGATCAAAAGTTGAGAAAGACGCCAAAAGAGAGACTTTGCGTGCCAAATGGACTAACTAGAAATGTTGTTTGAAAAACAAAAAAACAAAAAACAAAAATTTAACTAAAAAACAAAAATTTTATCACTTTCAAAAATTAAAAAAAAAAAAAAACTTGATAAAAATTCTTCTTCCCTTTCATCAAAAACCCAGAATCCCATATCATTAATCATTTTCTTTTATTTTTTTACCTCTGCTATTCAAAACCAGATCTACCAAAATCACAAATCAAAACCAAACAAAGCTAGTTCTTCAATGAAACCAAACAGAACAATATCAAAACCAAAAATCTTTTCCAAAACAAATACCAAACAATTCTCCTTCAAGAATAACACCAAACAATTCTCCTTCAAGAATAACACCAAACAGTTCTCAGTGTTTTTCACTCTCTGCAACAAACCAACAACAACTAAGAACGAGCAAAGTTCGAACAACAAAATAAAACCAAAAGAAAAACACAGACAAACCCAGATAAACACAACAAAGTTCGAACAGCGAGATTTGGGCTGAGATTCCGCGGCGTCAACCAGAGATTTAGCGGGGGGGAGCGCAATCTGGTGTTGATAAGTGCATGAAAGTGCACCTAAATTGTTCATAATTGTTAAATAAATTGAGTTTTAATTAAATATTTTTATAAAATTAATATTTTGTGAAAATATTTTAATTTATTTTATTTTGTAAGAAAATAAGACACTTAGGTCAAAATTATAAAGAAAAAAAAGAAGCCTAAAGTCCATCAGCGCCCAGCCGAGCCGATTGGAGCCGAGCCACGCGAGCCTCACCAGCGCGCCACGTGTCGTCCTCTGCCGCGGCGCAGGTCTGTGGGACCCAGTTGTCCCCACGCGTACGTGCGCTTGGCGCGCACGGATCCTTCCCCGGGCGAGTCTCCTTCACGCGCGCGTCAGGGCGTTCAGTGTTCCTTCTCCGCATGGGTCCTGCGTGCTACTTCTTCCCAATCAGCATCCGCCACGTGTCGCGAGCAGAAGCATTTGTCGGCCACTTCTCCTTTCCGCGAATCACAGTGTGCCACGCGTCCCGCCGTGCAGCAGTTCTTCCACTTACAGCGCGCCACGTGTCCTTGCACAGTAACATTTCCTCTCCGCGAATCACAGCGCGCCACGTGTACTAGCTGTTGCACTTCTCAATTTTTCCGGTTCAAACGTTTCTTAGGGTCATTTCTCCACCATTATCAGCCTTTACCACCAAATTGAAGCCTTGTAAATCCAATTTATTTGGATAGACCGTTCATTTTCTTCTTGTTTCTGTTTACAACTCTTGACATGGCCAGAAACTCTATAAATAGGGTCATGTCAAGGTGTTTAGGTTGTCAGCACGAGGATGTCAGCGCGAATCTGGTGCTGATAAGTGCATGAAAGTGCACCTAAATTGTTCATAATTGCTAAATAAATTGAGTTTTAATTAAATATTTTTGTGGAATTAATATTTTGTGAAAGTATTTTATTTTAACTTATTTTATTTTATTTTGTAGGAAAATAAGACACTTAGGCCAAAACTATAAAGAAAAAAAGAGAAGCCCAAAGCCCATCAGCGCCCAGCCAAGCCGATTGGAGCCGAGCCACGCGAGCCTCACCAGCGCGCCACGTGTCGTCCTCTGCCGCGGCGCAGGTCCGTGGGACCCAATTGTCCTCGCGCGTACGCACGCTTAGCGCGCACGGATCTTTCCCCGGGCGAGTCTCCTTCACGCGCGCGTCAGAGTGTTCAGCGTTCCTTCTCCGCGTGGGTCCTGCGTGCTGCTTCTTCCCAATCAGCATTCGCCACGTGTCGCGAGCAGAAGCATCTGTCGGCCAATTCTCTTTTCCGTGAATCACAGTGTGCCACACGTCCCGCCGTGCAGCAGCTCTTCCACTTACAGCGCGCCACGTGTCCCTGCACAGTAACATTTCCTCTCCGCGAATCACAGTGCGCCACGTGTACTAGTTGTTGCACTTATCAATTTTTCCGGTTCAAACGTTTCTCAGGGTCATTTCTCCACCATTATCAGCCTTTACCACCAAATTGAAGCCTTGTAAACCCAATTTATTTGGATAGACCGTTCCTTTTCTTCTTGTTTCTGTTTACAACTCTTGACATGGCCAGAAACTCTATAAATAGGGCCATGTCAAGGTGTTTAGGTTGTTGAATTTTAGTCTAAGTTTTTACATTTTTTTTTTCTCTCATCTTCTTATTCTTATTCTCATATTTTCTTTTTAGAATTTTATGGGAATTATGTGCAAGTTAGGCTAAAGTATTTAGGTGAGGCTAGACATGATCCTATATGTGTAGTGAACTTGTTTGGATTTTAATTCTCCAATGGTTTGTAAGTTTTATACATTTGAGTAAATAATTTTCTTTTATCATATTTCTTCCTCTTATCAATATATTTTATTGTCAACTTTTATATAAATCTAGTCAAGCTCTTTTTATGTGATTGTTGTATTATATTATATATTGATAGATATTGTTTTATGAGTAGTCTTTTACTGCAATATTGCCAACGGTATATTGTCGCTTTTAGATTTCTCATAAAATAATTTTTCTTAAACCTTAAACGTTAGAATTTTATTTACTCGAATACATTTTTAATTCATATGTTCTTCCAATATTTATTTACCGATTGATTGTTTGGGATGTGAAACTTTCAATTGAGTCAATTTATGAATCAAAATCCAAATAGGTGAACAAAGCATGTGGAGGATTCTCAATGCCTTACCACTTTTTATTATTGAATTTTCTCCATTTTAAATTGTTCAAAGAAAGAAATCATCAAAAACACTCATTCCTTTTCTTTGTTTGATTGCTTACTTTCCTAACGCTTTTTATTTGCTAGTCATTTCTTGTTCAATTTAACACCTCCTCGTGGGATCGACCGTCTAAATTGTACTATAATTGACCACTTATTTTTGTACACGTTTGGGAGTAATCAGGTGCCAAATCACAGATCGGAGAATATCAACGCGAAATCCGGCAAGATTGGGGCTGAGCTCCACTCGATTAGGGCTGGGAGTTTGTCAAGAGTGTGCCTCGAGAGTTGCAGAAGAAAAATAAAGGGAACTCGCACCACTTTCTCTCTCTCACTACTAATCCTAACCTCGGAGCTAGACTGCTTCTCCTCCTTCTACTCCTGCTCATCTCCGGCCTTCTTCGTCGACGATGAGGAATTGATATCGAAGGCGCGAACCAAGAACTTTCTAGAAGAAGAAAGTTACTACTGATTTACTCAATTAAAAACTTAATTTATTCCTTAAAGTTAAAAATTAATTTATTTTGATAAAGATCATATATCTTGTATTTTTTTTTTAGTTTACGTCAATACTTAACAAAAACAATTTGTTCAATATTTTTTTCCTCATTCAATCTCATTTTGGTAACTATCTCCTTCTAACTATAAGAGAACTAAAGAAAATTTTGGTGTTAGTGTTCAATCAATTTTACAACCATTATTATGGTCTCTCAAAACAAGAGCTTTTGAAAAATATGCTTAAATTGACCAATCCTTTTAAGTAGTAGGACCCAAAGTAAAAAGTTTCAATGGATAGCCCTCTCATTTAATGAAAGTCTTCTGATTCCCTAAATGCCCCTACTCTTTCTCCCTAAAAACAAATAATTGAAATATCATATCAGAGGGGCCAAAAAAAAAATTCCAAAAGAGAATTTCCTTTCCTCATTCTCATCCGTCAGGGACCTAAGCTAACCTTGTCGTCCAAAGGCAACCGCTGGCGCCGCCATTCACTGCCGGAGAAGCCCCTCGCCGACGTCCATCATCACCGGCATCCATCGGGAATTACAGTCCAGTTCTTGTTTTTGGCTTTTAAGAGAGCCATATCGAAGCTTGAGAAATTAAGATCCACTACCGGTATTCTCTCGAATCTTGTCTTTTTTATGCTTAGTTCGTTGTTTAAATGCTAGGTAATCGTACTTAGGTATTTTATTTGAAAAACCAACAAGAATCATGTTATTTCCTGACCTCTTCGGAGTTGTACAATCTGTAAAATCGAAAAAACTCATGACTGTCATTTCTTACCGTTCTTACCGGTGTGACCGGTAAGAAACTTGAATTCGGTCAGAATGTTCTTACTGGTGTGACCGGTAAGAAAATTACCAACCGATCGGAACAATCTTTCCAATAAGAACGATCTGATTGGTCAGATTTTTTGTGGAAGTGTATGATACTAACTATAATTTTAGCTTTCTTCCATTTGTATATTTAATTTATATTTTATTTTTGGATTTATATTTAATTTTTGACCTTTTATAATATTGGTATTATTTCATTTATAGGAAATGGTTGAAATTGTCATATATTTTCGATATAATGGGGAGTAGAAGAAGAAAGATGATGGATCGTATGAATGGTTTTCGATGAGTGAGGAAATAAAGAGCATATTATTATTTAATGATCCAATGAAAGTGAAATTTTCTGAGGTTGTTGATAGCATATTTGAAAGGCTTCCTGTTAGTTGAAGCAGTACAGATTTAAAACTAAGTTACACTTCTTTGTCATCGTCAACTTCGGGCCCTAAATTCATCTTAGATGATTTTGACACCACCTGTTATCTTTTTGACCGATGTGCCATATCACAACGTAGAAATATGATATATGTAGAGCTCATTAAAAAAGACGAATGTCGTGAAGGAAATGAAAAGGAGGGACTCGAAGTTGAAGAAAATGAAGAATGCAACGAAGAAAATGATAGAATCATTCGAGACGGGTATTTTGACGTTAACATTTTAGCATCAGAGCTTCATGATGCTGGTTCCACACCAGGTCGTGAGGGTGATCGTTTAGAGAAGCCTACACTT